GACAGCGAGATTGTCTGAACACCTAACACAGAGCAACACGCAGCTTGCAGCCTGAATGCTCTCAGAGTGTTTGTGAGTGGTGGGGACCATGGTTGCTCGAGGATATAGTCTGTGGCTCTTCCTAGCCTTTCTCTCTTTTGTAATTACCCACCTCCCATTCAATTCCTAGGCCAAAGGATTCTCAGATTCGCATTCTGAGAGGCAACACCATACGGTAGGCTTTGGATTCAGAAGGACTGTGTTGGAGGCTGGAACTGCCATTTCACAGGTGTGTGCATTCTGCAAGCCTTCATTTGCTTATCCACAGGTGGCAGTCAGGAGCACAGGCCGTGGATTCTCTCAAACCCAAGTTCCAGTCCTGTGTTCCCTCTCGCTGGGACATCTAGCAAGTTACCTGACCTCTCTGAATACAGTGACCCTAGTCCTGGCTTATGCTTGTTGTCCCAGAGTAATTGTTACTCCCAAAGTGTCCTGAACTGGAAAATAAATTATGTTTCCTTCAGATTCTTCAGCTATACCACTCGGACAAAATCATTATAGGTCTGCGAAAATAAATGAGAAAAAGTTCTGGGCTTCTCTGGTGGCTCAGTGGTAAAGAATCTGCCTACCAATGCAGACTGATTGATGCAGACCAATGCAGACCAATTCGGACCAGACTGATCCCTGGTCTGGGAGGGTCCCACATGCTGATGGGCAACTAAGCCTGTGTATCACAACGACTCAGCCTGTGTTCTAAGGGCCCAGGAGCCGCAACTACTGAACTCATGAAGTTGACGACCTAGAGCTCGTGCACCACAAGAGAACTCATCGCAATGAGAAGTCTGCTCACAGCAAGAGTAGCCCCCAGAAGCCACATATGGAAAAAGCCTGCTCAGCAACTAAGACCCAGTAAAGTAAAAAAAAAATTATAATAATAATAAAATTATATATGTAAAAAGAAAATGTCTCTGAAGTACTTAAACTGGGGCCTGGCACACAGTAAGCGCTCAGTAAATGTGACCATTATTATTGCTACTTTGAGCAGTGTACCTAATTTCCTTTAATCTGCATTGCTCATTTGTAAATGGGGATAATGATTTTCTTCTGTCTGCATTTAAGTGTCATTTTGAATCACCAACACAACACAACACAACACAAGGTTCAGAAATTGATGTGTAAGAAGCATTAAAGTGACGTTATACTACCATCCCATAACTGGAAGGCAATCATGGTGTGAGCTTCTTGTGTCTTCCCAGAGATATTTTCTACACAAGCAAATATAAGTATATAGTCTTCTTCCTATAAACAGTAGCACGACTTACACCATTCTGCACCTTGCTTTTTTCACTTACTCTATCTTGGTGACCTTTCCATATCAATACAAAAGAGCTTCCGCATCCTCATGTTTTTTAAAACAGTCACAGAGTGTGCTGTTACATGGATGTTCCATAATTTGCTTGGCCAGTCCTAGTAGTGCTGCAATGAAGCTTAATATAAGAATTCTGAAACACTAACAGTAAGACACTTAATATTTATTATTTATAATTACTATTATCTTTCAAATTTTATTTATTTTTTAATTGAAGGATAATTGATTTACAGAATTTTGTTGTTTTCTATCAAACATCAACATGAATCAGCCATAGGTATTACATGTCCCCTCCCTCCCATTTCCCTCCCCACTGCACCCCTCAAGGTTGATAGAGAGGTCCTGTTTGAGTTCCCTGAATCATATAGCAAATTCCCACTGGCTATCTATTTTATACTATTACCTTTTAACTGAACCTCACTCACATTTACTTCATTTCTCGAGTCCTTGGGTCTCCATCTATTAATTTGCTCAACACCAATCTACTTAGTCCCTACTTATATGTTTGGCTAAAATTTACCAGTTGGCTATGCTTAGAGATTAAAAAGCTCTGGTACATGCCCTCAGGGACCTGTCATCTAGGGTCTCTGCAATCTATATCCTTTAAAGGATTTCTTACAGATGGGTATGGGCATATGACATAATGGAACATATAGGGGAATATAGGAGGTTTGGGGGATGGGAGTAACAGATCATTGATGACAAAATACAAATATTTAGGAAATGAGATTGAGGGCCTTTGATATAAAAATCATGCTACTATTTCCTCATTATAAAAGTAATATATAGCACAATATGTAATTTTTCACTTTTCTCATGCATAAATATGTTAAATGTATATTAAAAATACAATGTATGTACATACATGTAATGTATATTTACAGAACTGAGATACTGTCTTAATAGTTTTTCATTAAAATGTTTTGTACCTAACATTATTTCATAAACATTTTGCCATATCAATAGCATCAGAAGATATTTTTTAATGATGATATAATATTTTCTAATATATATACCATGATTTAGTTAAGCATCTAGAACGGAATGGCAACCCACTCCAGTATTCTTGCCTGGAGAATTCCATGGACAGAGGTGCCTGGCAGGCTAGAGTCCATGGGGTCACAAAGAGTCAGACACGGCTAAATGACTAACACTTTCATTTTTCACTTCTTTATCATTAGACTACTTCTAATTTTCTGCTATCACAAGTGAGATTTTGTTTTTCAATCTCTGTGAGTTTATGTGTATAATGGTAATGAAACACAGTCCATATTTAAACAATGTTAATGGTAATAAAATATAGTCTATATTTAAACAATGTTAATGCTCTATTTAAGTACTGGACAACTTACAAAGTGGGTACATAAAAACTACAAATTGACTTAATATAAAGGAGAGACATTTATGTGAGTTCCTTATATATATACAATAATAGTTAATTATAGCATAACATTTATTGAGACTGAAATTGAAGTTCTCAGCATCTATGTAAGGCAGGAATTATCCATGTTTTTCAGATGAAGTAATAACAGCCTGGATTGGAATTTAGGACAGCTCACTGCAGAAACCATGTTCTTATGCTATGTTGCTTCATTAACTGTGTATCAGACTAATCATATCAAAATATTTATCTACTTCTATCTAAGTTATATTAATTACAGGCATATACTCCCACTTGTGATCTGTTGCTTATGAAGCATGGTGGTCTTAACCAAATTAGAAGCAAGACTAGAGCTCAAGGAAGGCTTCAGAGAGGATACTACCTGGAAGTAGCTCTTGAGGGATGGATTACTGTTGCTCAGTTGCTCAGTCATGTCCAACTCTTTGTGACCCCATGGACTGCAGCACACCAGGCTTCCTTGTCCTTCACCATCTCCCAGAGCTTGCTCAAACTCACGTCTATTGAGCTGGTGATGCCATCCAACCATCGCATCCTCTGTCGTCCCCTTCTCCTCCTGCCTTCAATCTTTCCCAGCATCAGGGTTTTATCCAGTGGGTCATCTCTTCACATCAGGTGACCAAAGTATTGGAGCTTCAGCTTCAGCATCAGTCCTTCCAATAAATATTCAGGGTTGATTTTCTTTAGGATTGACTGGTTTGATCTCCTTGCAGTCCAAAGGACTCTCCAGAGTCTTCTCCAACCCCATAGTCCAAAAGCATCAATTCTTTGGCACTCAGTCTTTTTATGGTCCAACTCTCACAACCATATATGACTACTGGAAAAACCATAGTTTGACTATATGGACCTTTGTTGGCAAAGTAATGTCTCTGCTTCTTACTATGCTGTCTAGGTTTGTCATAGCTTTTCTTCCAAGGAGCAAGTGTCTTTTAATTTCATTGCTGAACTCACGGTCTTCAGTGATTTTGGAGCCCAAGAAAATAAAGTCTGTCACTGTCTCCAGTGTTTCGCCATCTATTTGCCATGAAGTGATGGGAATGGACGCCATGATCTTCATTTTTTGAATGTTGAGGTTTAAGCCAGTTTTTCCACTCTCCATTTTCACCATCATCAAAAGGCTCTTTAGTTCCTCTTCGCTTCTGCCATAAGGGTGGTCTCATCTGCCTATCTGAGGTTATTGATAATTCTCCCAGCAATCTTGATTCCAGCTTGTGCTTCATTCAGCCTGGCATTTTGCATGATGTACTCTGCACCTAACTTTTTTTTTTTTTTAATTTCTTTTAAATTATTTTATTTTTGTGTAAGCTAAAAGGAACTTTACACACTGAAATCTCAAAAGACCTTAGGCATGCACGTTAACCTTGTTAGAGGTTCTTCTACATGTCTTTCTTTTTTCCATAGGAATTTCCCCAAACATTTAAAACCCATAGTTTTTACTGTATATACAGCCTAAACCATAGCAATCTATGATTATGTCATTTTACACTGTGCAAAATCCTCAAAAAATAGTGGTACAACAGAACAAAAAGATCAGTAACAAGTAAATTTCATTGTAAGACATTCATATAATTTGGTCCTTCTCCAAACCAAACTGATTTAAAACAGACACAATCTCTTTAAGCCCCTTCAATCAAGTTCTGACACTGATCCATACCCTATAACAAAAGACCAATCAATGCAAGTACCTTGCAAAAGGTCAAACAGCAATAGGCCAGATTGAAAAGATTAAAAAAGAGCACAAAGATGGTAACAAAAGCCAGACCTGAAACAAACCCACCACACATAAAATTAAAAAAAAAAAAAAATTAAACAGGGACTTGGAGCTTATTTATGATAGCAAAAGTAATTAAATATACAATATGAAAAGTTAATGGGACATTCAATGAAATCTGAAAAGAATGAAGGGGGTTTCATAGACAGTGGAGATGTGAGTTTTTAATTTTCATTTTTTATTTCAAAAGTTGTGTAAGAAGGACACCACCAGTGTATTTCACAAAGACATAAATGTATACACCCCAGCAACACAAAAAGAATAAATCTTCAAAAATGTTCACCCCCGATTATTTACATTTGTTTCTAATATAAATTTATGACTTCAGTATGTAAATAAATATACATTACTATGTATACCTTTCTAGTGCAGCTTACCAACAAATCAGCTGAACTTTTAATTTTTTTTTTAAATTAGAGCAGGTATGCTTTTGATGGTAGGGAAGGGCTGGAAGGAAGGAAAAGCAACTGAAACTGCCCAATTCACATCAGTAATTCATCTGCCTTCTCTTGGGAGCTTGTGGAAGGTGTCAAGGTGGTCGGGAACATCAACACCTTGGCATGCATGAACGTTAGGTCAGGAAGGCTGGCGATCACCTTGATGGCTTCTTCACTCAGGTGCTCTTCTCTTTTTGGTTTCCTGGTAGATGTGCTTGTCTTCTCTACTGTGGACATGAGTCTCGCGAATGCATCAGTCACTTTGAGGCTTGAGGTGGAGATTTCCAGCTTAGAAGTTGTTAATTCATACAACTCTGGATCCACACCATCTAAAGGGTTAGTAAGGCCACTGCTACTCCAGTCAAACTGGACGGGTGGTAGAGACTCCTGGAATTGGTCAGATGTACATGTGTTCATTTCTGGTGACATAGTGGTGGTCTGACCGATGGAAGCGATTTTTTCTGCAGCAGATAGTGGTTTCAGTGGTTCCTTGGTGGGCTCTAACATACCCAATCCTGCTGCATACATGGGCACTATAACAGGTTGCTTCTTATTACCCGTGAAGAGAATGTTTCGGGTGTCTATTCCCAGGGAGCATAAAAGTTTCTTGTTGCTATGGGAGCCACCCCACTGATATCTCAAGCCATGTGCATCATGGACATCCTGTAGTTCGGTCCACACATCCAGCAGTCCCCACTTTCAGCTAAGGCCTCTCTTGTTTTTATTGGCAAGGTACTTGTTTCCAGCAAGTGCTTCAGGGAAGTAACTTCTTCTTCAGTATCAGGGACAAATATGGAAGGAAAACATGCTTCGAAAATTCGCTCCAGGCGGTTTAGTAAAGCTGTCTGAACTGAAGTGGTTGTTTCGTGTAAATGACCACCAGCAACTGCTCCTTTGGAAACTGCTAAGGAGAAACGGTGCACTTTGGGGGTTCCCGGAGTATCAATCTTTTCATCTGTCCTATGTGACTGCCAGGCTTCCTTTCGATGATGAGATTCAGTGGCTTGCTGGTCTCCAAAAGCAGCCCAGGAACAGCTATCTTTCTGTCCATCCTCAAAAGCATTCCAATCTACAACCTGGCTAGGACCAGCTGAACTGAAGTCCGCAAAATCATCAGAGTCTTGAAAAGCACTGCAGTCATCTTGAATATTTGGCACAGAATCAAAGTCTCCAAACTCACCTTCTTGCCCAATTTCCAGTTTTGAAACAGGTTCAATGCCTGTCCCAGTAGGTTTTCTTGCCAAACTGCATCCCTCTGATAAACTATCAGAAGTCTGTTTTAGGTCTGACTCAGTAAATATAATTTCCTCTTGGCAAGAGACAGTATTTGATTCCCCGAATTCTCCAAAGTCATCACCTGGTTCACTCAAATGTGGAAAGTGCTCTGAGGACTCTTCAAAAGTGACATCACTCATTGAATCTTGTGTACCAGCAGTAACAAAAGGTGGAGTTGTGCCACTGGCTGTGCCAAAGTCACCAAAATCATCCTCAATGGTATCGTTGCAAGTCACAAAGTCATTACTACTATCACCATTTTTTACACTCACAGAATCATCCAAAACATTTTCTTCTGTAGGATCAAAGCTGAGGCTCTGGGAGTCAGTAAACCCTCTAATTTCTTCTTTAGAAGAACTAATTTCATCGTCTGCATCCAAAGTTTTAGTAGAAACCATGCATAGGTCAGCACATTTAGAAGTGAATAAATCAAGATTTTCCTCAGCTTTACATTGTTCTCTCCTACTGGCTTCTGAATTTTCAGCTGGGTCTGCCAAACTCCAAGCCTCTGACTGAACACTTGAATTGAAAAATTCATCTTGTTGCAATGTGGGAAGGCCTTGTTTTCCCCTAGTGAAACCCCTGTCACTCACTATGCTTATTTCTGAAACACAAACCTGATCCTTTCTAGCAGTGTCTCCTTCATCATCAAAGCTTCTATCCAAAGACACTTCTTTTATAGAATTCAGTTCATTGACTCTATTAATTTTATTGTTTTCCCTGGTTAGTGCTTCATCATTTAAAACTGCACATCCTATTTCTTCTAGTTGTATCCTTTCTTTTTTGGAAAATGTGGCAAAATCTGCAAATTCCTCAGCAGGACTAGGTGCATAGTCTAAATTATACTCAGTACTATGAGTGCTAAGAGGCTTTAGTCCTTTTGAATCAGCTACAGTGTCCAGATCATCTGTTCCCTGAGGATTTACAGTTTCCAAGACTGCAAACCCATTTGTTAGAATCTCCAGACAAGGCGGCTTTTCACCACTGCAGCTCTCTAACTGCTTGTTTTGATGAATAACATTCAGATCAGTTCTAAAATCTCCTGGAGAGAAACTTTCAGGTGTTCCAACATTCTGTCTCTGCTCCACTTCTTTTTTTTTTTTTTTTTGTCAGTTTTAATTTTAATAAAATAGATAATTTCCTACTACATAGAGAGCAAGTCCATCCATCCATTCATAAAATTTTAGAAATATTTCCTATAAAAAGTTTAGTAGTTGATTGGGAATGAATCCATCAGAACATGATTTCTATAGGTACAGTGTTCCCATCCTCACCCCCATTCTTACTGATTTTGAGAAAATTTAAAAATACAGGAAAGTACAAAAAAAAGACAAGATATCCATATACCACAATCCAGAATTAACCAGTATTTCAATATATTTTCTGCAGTCTTTTTTAAGAGAAATTGATGTTTATATATAAAACTGAAGTCCCCCTCTAACAACCCCCTTCCCCACACACATTCCCTTCCCTTCTCCACTCTTCACAGGCAACCACTATCAAGAGTTTGGTCTGTATCCTTCCAACCCATTTCAAAAACACTTAAAAAACATACATACATATATGTATCCATTACCAATATATAGCACTGAAATCCTGTGAGGAAGTTTTAATTCAAATTTACAAAAATGTCATCGTATTATCTGTCATTCTGCAACTTTATCTGTCCCCCTCAACATGACTTTTGAGATCTTTCTAATACATATAGATCTCATTTATTACACTTTACAGATATACAGTATTCCATTGTAAGTATTTTCCATTTTGTTCCTGATTGTCTCTGCTCCACTTCTTTATTTAAATCTTGTGGACTTTCTATGCCATCAATGGAAGTATCTAAAGTTTTAGATGAAATTATTTCTTTGCTGGTGGTAGAAAGTAAAACATCAGACTGACCTTTCACAGGAGAAGAAAGTTCAGCAGTGATGTCCTTATCGTTACTATTTTTAATGGACTTAAAGCTTGTAAGGCTATCTACATTTTCTGAGAAATCATGAATTGGCATAAAATGGTTTGAAGGTACAAACTCTTCCTTGGGACGAGTATAATCTGGTGTATCAAAATCAACCAACCCTACACCAGAAGGGCTAACTTCAGAAAACCCACCAAATTCCCCAAATTCATCGCATCATCATCCTCAGCTCCATTGTCTAGTGGTGGTGGGGATGAAGAGTACATTCGAATGATGTCTGGCTCCATTGTTCAATTGCTTTCAAATACTTAATTTACACCTGGCTCGTCCGGGGCGGCCGCGATGGGCATGGCTCAGGGGCCCGGGGAGGAACTGGCTCCCCGGGCAAGGACCGGCTATTCGGACGCGGCGCTGGTGAGAGCGGAAGGCAGGCTGCTCACAGCCCTGTCAGCGAAACAGCGCCATGGACGCCCACCCAGAGTTTCAGTGCTGCCGCGAGAGCCCCATCCCATTACCCTCCGCCCTCTTCCGCCGCCGCCGTCGCCGCCCTCTGCACCTAACTTAAAGAAGCAGGGTGACAATATACAGCCTTGACGTACTCCTTTCTCAATTTGGAACCAGTCCATTGTTCCATGTCTGGTTCTAACTGTTCCTTCTTGACCTGTATACAGGTTTCTCAGGAGATGGGTAATGTGGTCTGGTATTCCCATCTCTTTAGGAATTTTCCACAGTTTGTTGTGATCCACACAATCAAAGTCTTTAGCTTGTCAATGAAGCAGAAATAGATGTTTTTCTGGAATTCTCTTGCTTTTTCTATGATCCAACGGATGCCTGCAATTTGATCTCTGGTTCCTCTCCCTTTTTCAAATCCAGCTTGAAACATCTGAAAGTTCTCGGTTCATGTATTGTTGAAGCCTGGCTTGGAGAATTTTGAGCATTATTTTGCCAGTGTGTGAAATGAGTGCAATTGTGTGGTTGTTTGAACACTCTTTGGCATTGCCTTTCTTTGGGATTGGAATGAAAACTGACCTTTAAGTGAGGCATGTGATTATGCACAGAGAAGTGAAAGGTAAAAATTAATGGGACTTAGTCACAGAATGGGCTTCCCTGGTAACTCAGCTGGTAAAGAATCTGCCTGCAATGCAGGAGACCCCAGTTCAATTCCTGGGTTGGGAAGTTCCCCTAAAGAAGGGATAGGCTACCCATTCCAGTATTTCTGGGCTCCCCTGGTGGCTCAGATGGGAAAGAATCTGTCTGCAATGCAGGAGACCTGGATTCGATCTCTGGGTTGGGAAGATCCCCTGGAGGAGGGAATGGCAACCCACTCCAGTATTCTTGCCTGGAGAATCCCCATGGACTGTGTAGCCTGGTGGGCTAGTCCATGGGATCGCAAAGACTCGGACAAGACTGAGTGACTAAGCACAGGATCGCACAGCACAGTCACAGAATACCAAAAGTACTGGTAGAAACTTTTTTTTAGGTAGTCAGTGAAAATGAAACTGGAGAGGTTGAACACGATGTGGTCTTAAAGGATCATAAAAAGCAGGCTACACATTCCAATTTGAAGCCATGTGCTCTAGCTATTTGACCATATTCCCATCCTCCTTTGTCTTATGCAGAACTACTGATCAAAACCACCTACTATGAGAGAATTAGTCAACTCCACTAAAGATACTAATCACCCCAGCACTAATTTTCTATGACTCCTTAAGGTGATAAATTGCAAGATTTATTTTCCAACTAGGAACACATGAAAGATCATTAATACTCAGAAGATATGCCTCTAGAATCTTCTTTGGGATAAAAAGCTCAGTAACTCATATTGGTCCTTAAGTTTGAATGACAGATATTTTAATAAGAAAGAGTTCTAAGTAAAAATGGAAGAACAATATACTGGTTTACCAGTCTTCTTTAATAAACATAATACAGACATGGTAAAATATACAAGTATTATGGAAGGACTAATCACAAAAGTAAATGGTTTTCCACCCCTCTTCTCCCCAACTCCAGCTCTATTCCCTAAAGCAAACTTTTTCTTAAAATAGGTTTTTGTTTTTAGTTCTGGTGGGCTTATTTTTAACTCTAAATCAGCTTTTCTCAAAAAGAGTGTTATTAGTATTAATATTTTGGGGGACATATGTGGAACTGTGCTGTGCATTTAGCATGTTCGTCCCCGATACTAAATGCCCGTAGCGCCCTCCAGTCACTGTGATACATTCCCAAATCTCCTTCAGGATCGAGAACTACTGCTCTAAGCAATACATGGCTATCTTTTGATTTACTGAATTTAGATATTATCTATGAGTGCTTACCATGAAAAATGAATATTTAGTCTCCTTACTCCCTACTATTTTTTTCTAGATTCTATTACATTTTAACCTATGACATTTTTCATCTTTTAATCTCAACAGGTTGATCTTAAGCAATTTTCTCAGATTTGACTTCCAGTTCACTAATCTTCCTTTGGGTAATATGTTGTTTAGTTAATACATTAAAAATAATCAATGTCTGCATTTTTCATTTATTTTCTTTTTGAAATATGCTATTCTTTTTATGCACTGTCCTTTTCATTTGTTTTCTATTCTTTTCATCCCTTTAACACTTTTTAACACAATTATAACTTTTTTCATATATTTCTATTTTTTTTTATTCTTTGGGATTTCTTCTATTTGTTTTGTTTGCTCAAACTCCCTTATGATTATTTATAGGTTTTTAAAATTGTGAGCTCATATTAAATGGGGGGAGGTGAGAAGAGGTTCCATGTTTCCTTGTGCCTGAGGTCACGTCTTCTTTCCAGATTCAAATGACATAATCCCATCTCTATATCTCAGTGTCTGTATCCTCCAGAGAAACTGCTATGGTTGTGCTGGGTATAAACTTGCACTAACTGCTCTTCTAAATGATTTTCTGCATTCTTCTGGTAGTCTTTAAAATTGACTATTTCCAAATAGGAAAAGGAGTATGTCAAGGCTGTATATTGTCACCATGCTTATTTAACTCATATGCAGAGTACATCATGAGAAACACTGGGCTGGATGAAGCACAAGCTGGAATCAAGATTACCGGAAGAAATATCAATAGCTTCAGATATGCAGATGACACCACCTTTATGGCAGAAAGTGAAGAAGAACTAACGAGTCTCTTGATGAAAGTGAAAGAGGAGAGTGAAAAAGTTGACTTAAAACTCAACATTCAGAAAACTAAGATCATGGCATCATCCGGTCCCATCACTTCATGGCAAATAGATGGGGAAACAGTGGAAACAGTGGCAGACTTTATTTTTTTGGGCTCCAAAATCACTGCAGATGGTGACTGCAGCCATGAAATTAAAAGGCGCTTACTCCTTGGAAGGAAAGTTATGATTAACCTAGACAGCATATTAAAAAGCAGAGACATTACTTTGCCAACAAAGGTCCATCTAGTCAAGGCTATAGTTTTTCCAGTAGTCATGTATGAATATGAGAGTTGGACTATAAAGAAAGCTGA